AGAGAGAAGCCACTGCTCAGAGGAGCAAGCTCTGGACGGATCTCTCCGACCCTGATCATTGTCTAGGGCAGACCTGGAGTGGAGGGCAGGGAGAAGGAAGGAAGGGCGCCTGGGGAGGGGTTCCTGGCTTGGGGAGGTGGCTTTAGGCCCAGGGAAAAGTCAAGAGGAGGAATACAAGAGTCAGTGACTGGACACCTAGACTAGAGAATAGACAGAAAAGGAAACAGTATAGAGATGCAGCAGGCAAAAGAACAGAGAGGCTGGGGGGCAGCCAAGCCAATGGGAGAAAGACGAGGCCAGGGGGATGGACAGGCTGACAGAGGGCAAGGGACAGAGACACAGGCCAGATGGATAATTGATCAGATGTTGAGGACAGACAGGCCAGGAGGATGGTAAAAGACCTGAGAGAGAGACAGATCAGGCGACCGAGGCTAGGGAGATGGACAGACCCAGGACAGGGTCCAGGCCAACACTAAAGGGGAGGTGGTCCGAGAGGGACAGGCAGGTGGCTGGCAGGAAGGAAGCTGGTCCACGGGTCTGTCTGCAGCATGGACATAGACCTATCTAGAACCCATCCAGCCTAGGTCTGGAGGGTTTCAGCCCAGAACCAGGGGGATGGACCTAGGAGTGACGGCGGAGAGCAAGGGAGGGCTGGGAAGAGGGAGAGCCAGGCGGAAGGAGAAGGTGGGCTCTGAGATGGGCGCAGGGCCCAGAGGCTGAGGCTGGTGGAGGGGGATCTGGAAATAACCCCTTGGCCCATCAGGGCACATCCTAGCCCAGGAGCTGCCCCTTTCCGTGGCTGGACTCTGGACCCTCAACTCCTGTCCACACACCCTCCTCTGGGGCCATTCAGGAGAGAGCAGTGGACAGCCAGTGGGACCTTGTGGCAGAGCGGCCGTGCCGTCTCCATGGAAGAAGCTGTGGGCTGTGCTGCTACCAGAGATCTGCCACTTAGGAGCTGGTGGCTCCACCCGCTGCTGCCTGCCTGGCCCAGGGACCGTCTCCAGGGTAATGCTCTGCTCTGCCCCACGGTCGGGCCCGGCCCGGGCTGTGCAGGTGTCCTGGCCCTGCCAGTCTGGCCTGTCCACTCCCTGCAGAGCATTGTCCATCAGCAGACCCAGAGTCCTTCCACCCATCTCCCTTTGTCACCCCCACTCTGCACAGTTGCCTCAAGGGCAGGCATACCAGGTAGCCACCACCATCTGAAGCCTTTGGAGCCAAAGCCTTCCCAGATGGCTCTGCTCTGCACAGGGAGAGGCTCAGTGTCATGTAGCCTGTGTCTGTGTCTATGTGGTGGAGGCATCGAGTAGGGAGGCTGCCCCAGCCCCACCTAGGTTCAGGATGCTACCAGACTCATTCATTCACTGAACACCTACCAGGTGTTTTATAAGCACTAACTCTGCTTTAGCATCAGGCTCAGTTCTGCTCGAATCTCTGCTGTCATTTGCTTGCTGTGTGCTCTTAGCCAAGTCATTTTCCCTCTCTGAGCTTCCTCAACATGAAACGGGGGCTACAATGCTTACCTCGTGTGGTTTTCTTGGAGGCTCAAAGGAGAAAATAGATCAAAAGTACAGGACCCAGTACAAAGTGGGAATGTTTGATAATGTTCACTTTGCATTCCTTCCCTCGACCTCACTCCTCCTTCTGCAAATTGCACTGGGCTCTGGGGATACCAAGATGATGAAACGGGGCTCCCAGCCTCAGGGAGTCCACGGTCCCATGGGAGAGACCATGACAGTGCCCAGCGATCAGGGTCAGCCGCTGCACACTGGGGGGCGCGAGTGAGCAGCTCACTACTGGGATTCCCCCATGCAGCCCATGCCTTGTTTAGCCTCCCAACTGGAGCACACACTGAAAAACGGCTGCAGCAGCAAGAGCTGATTCCAGCATCTTCTTGGCTCAAAATAGGAAGGGTCTGAGTGGTTTGAGATTTGGGACAAATACTTACATATTCCCCCCATCTGCCTTTCCCCCACCACTGAGGACACAGGGATCTTGCCCCCAGCCCTCTTCAGGGCTCTCCTCCCTGCAGTGACATGTAAAAGCACAGGTCTAGAGCCAGGCTGTCTCGCTGGACTCTTACCCCTTCGACTAGGGCCCTTCCACTCACCGTGCGGCCTGCAGACCAGCAGGTTGTTAGAAATGCAGAATCTCAGTCTTGGTGCCCAACACACGTTTACTGAATCAGAATCTGCATTTTAGCAAGATCCCCAGGTGCTTTGGGTGCACATTAAAGTTTGAGAAGCACTGATCTTGGAGACCTTGGCAAATCAGCCAACCTCTCGGAGCCTCAGTTTCCTCATCTGTAGGATGTAGGGTCATTGTGAGATTCGATTGGAAAGAGCATATTAAGCATTTAGTGCAGTGCCTGGGGCAGAGCGGATGCTCTGGGACTGTCAGTGATGCCTACTCCTGCCCCTAGATGGACACACAACAGGGAGCTGCGGCAGGGGTGATACAGACAACGTCAAGGACTGGAACCCAGAAGGTGGCGAGGGTGCAGAAGGAGTGGGGGAGAGACAGGTGAGGAATTGAATTGAGAAGCAACAGATATGGAGAAGAGAGTAAGGAAGGTACAGAGGAGTGGAGTGCAAGGGAAGGAGGGATGGAGGAAAAGGGATCGAGCGTTGAGACTCCAGTCTCATTTCAGCTGGATGGGGCTGAAGCAGGAGCCAGGGCTTGGGGTGCTGTAAGCTTGGGTTGGGGGAGTTGCCAGCAACGGACTGTGGGAACACCTTGAGTCTTGCATCTCAATGAGTTCCACCTCTCCCCCTAAGCTGTGTGACCTTGGGCAAGTCACATCACCTCTCTGAGCTCTGGTTTCCTCATCTGTATTTATCAGGCTAATTAAACCTACCTGATACCAGAGTGGCTGAGGAGATGAAATGGGGTGGCAGATGCTGCCATGTTTTGTAAACTGTACAATTCTTGTTATTTGCGTGCTTTTGTTTTGGGAATCTGAGGCAGGGTGTTTGGGTGATAGAACTGTCTTGAGAGGGGAGAATCAGCGGGCGATTAACCTAGGGGGATGGGGATGGGAGACAACCCTGCCTCACAACGAGGGCACCCCCAGGCCCCCAGTTCTTAGAACTCCTCGCTCCTACTGCCTCCACCCAGCCCTCTCCCTTCCACAGCCTCCCTCTGGAGCTCGGCATTTAGGAATCTTTCCCCTTACACTGCCTCATGCCTTTTCTCCCAGCTTTCACCAGAGTGAAAATGTTCCCAGGGACAGAGGCCATGGAGAGAGAGAGAGTGATTGAGTGCGCTGACCTCCTTACGCCCAGGGAAGGTGCCGCCTGTGATGGGTTTGACCCAGGGGCTGGTCTCTGTGGGGTGAGCCTGGCAAGGGGGAACTCCCATCTGCCTCTCCCTCAACCTCCTACCGACCCCAGCTGCTCGCAACTCCCATCGGCAGCTCTGTCCCCGCCAGAGCCTCGGCTTCCATCTCCGGGGCTCCAGCGCCATCTGGTGTCCACATGGGACGACTCTCTGCAGAGGAAAAGCGAGATTGGCTGCTTCTGCGCTGGCGAACCGCGTATTAAAGTATCCCTTGTGCCCCGCCCTGGAACAGGTGCTGGACTCATTGTCCCTGTGCAGCACGAATTCTAGTGGGGGGAAGATGAGCAATGAACACGGAGGCAAACAGATAAGCAAACAGATAAGCAAGATCATCTCAGGTCTTGATGAGGACTTTGAGCAAACCAACAAATGCATTTGATGAGGGGAGGCTGACACTGGGAACGTGTGTGTGGTATATGAGTGTGCATCTGAAGAAGGGACACTTAACCTCAGGCTTAAAAGATGAGCAGCTAGCCATGCCAGCTGGGGGCAGGGGAGCATTCCAGGAGAGGGAACTGCGTGAACAAAGGCCTGGGGAGGGAAGTCGCTCCGAAAGTTTGAATTTGTCTCAGAGATCTGGGAGTGGAAAGGCAGGAGGCAGAGGCAAAGGTTACCTCATGTGGAGACTTTCAGGCAAGGGAAGGAATGTGGCTTTATTCTCTGGGAAATGGGAAGCCATTGGTGGACTTCAAGTTGGCAAGTGACTTGTTTGGATCGCCTCAGTTTAGAATGAGCACTCTGGCTACTGTGTAGTGAATGGCTTTGGAGGGAGAGGCAAAGACCGACGAAGGGCACCAGTTAGGAGCCTGCCGCCGTGGCCTGGGGGAGATGATGGTGAAAGGGGGACATGAGATGGAAGGAGAGTAGATGGATTCTAAATAGATATTGCCTGGGACAGCAGCTGGATTGTATGCCTGGTCACCCCTGTCCCATATCCCAGCAACCAACCTACAGGGAGAGGGAGATTTCAGGGATTCTGACTTGAGAAACTAGGTAGATAGTGGGGCCCTTTACTCATAAGAGGAGAATGGGTCAGGGACAGGATTTGGGAACACATCAAGAGTTCTGCTAATTTTTTAAAATAAATTTATTTATTTTGGCTGCGTTGGGTCTTTGTTGCTGCACACAGGCTTTCTCTAATGGTGGTGAGCGGGGGCTACTGTTCGTTGCGGTGCGCGGGCTTCTCATTGCGGTGGCTTCTCTCGTTGCGGAGCACGGTCTCTAGGCACGCGGGCTTCAGTAGTTGTGGCACACGGGCTCAGCAGTTGTGGCTCGCGGGCTCTAGAGCACAGGCTCAGTAGCCGTGGTCCATGGGCTTAGTTGTTCCGCAGCATGTGGGACCTTCCCGGACCAGGGCTCAAATCTGTGTCCACTGCATTGGCAGGCGGATTCTTAACCACTGCGCCACCAGGGAAGTCCAAGAGTTCTGCTATTGATATGTTAAGCTGGAGGTGCCTTTTAATCATCTAAGAGAGGATGTCAGTAGAAAAGATGGAGCTCAAGGGAGGCTGGGCTGTTGGTTGGTTGCTGGGATATGGGACGGGGTGACCAGGCAGGTCTGGTGGCCGTCACAGGGGACAGGGAACCCTAAGCCTAAGGCACTGTCTTTCATCTCCCCCTTCCACACCCCCGCCCCTCCCGCTCCTGTCTCTTATTCCCAGGTCTATACTCGCTATGGGAAGTGTTATACCTTCAACGCGGATCCACAGAGTTCACTGGCCAGCCGGGTGGGGGGCATGGGCAGTGGCCTGGAGATCATGCTGGACATCCAGCAGGAGGAGTACCTGCCCATCTGGAGAGAGACAAGTATGCAGGCGGGAAAGGGACAGGGGCTCCAGCCTGGGTCCTCTGCCTGGGATGGGTTTCCAAAGGTGCCCATCTCTACTGTGCAGACGAGACGTCGTTTGAGGCAGGCATCCGAGTGCAAATCCACAGCCAGGAGGAGCCACCCTACATCCACCAGCTGGGCTTCGGCGTGTCCCCAGGCTTCCAGACCTTTGTGTCCTGCCAGGAACAGCGGGTGAGCACCTCCAGCCGGGTCCTGGGTCAGGCACAGGGCCAGGCCTTTGGGCTCAGAGGGAGTGCTGACCAGATCGGCCCCCCAGAAGCTCACATCCCACCAACCCTCACTGGGGCTGTGGGCGCCGGAGGGCCGGGTGGGACGTCTGTGCGTGACCCCGTCATGCCCCACCTCTGCAGCTGACCTATCTGCCCCAGCCCTGGGGCAACTGCCGAGCGGAGAGTGGGCTCAGGGAGCCTGAGCTTCAAGGCTACTCGGCCTACAGTGTGTCTGCCTGCCGGCTGCGCTGTGAAAAGGAGGCCGTGCTTCAGCGCTGCCACTGCCGGATGGTGCACATGCCAGGTGGGCACCCCACCCCCTGCCAGCTCTCTGTGTCACCCTGCCAGGCTCAGAACCTCCAAGGGCAGAACACTGCTCATGTGCAGGGGGGCAGGTGCACGTGTATGACAACATGTGTGCATGTCTCTGCCCACGTGAGTGTACATGGTGTGTGTTCGGGATTTTATGCATGTTTTCACGTATGCATATGGGATGCACACACGTATGTTTGTGTGCCTGTTAATATGTATTTATGCGTACATGTACTTGTGCATATCTGTACTTTTGTACTTGAGGTTGTGTGCATGTGCTTGAACACGTGCATGCAAATGCATGTGCATATGTGTGTGTGCAAGCACGCATGGATTTACGTGCATATGTACATGCGTACATCTCCATGCTTCTGTGCACAGGCATGTATAAATTCATGTGTGCACATTTATGTGTGTGCATGCATGCATGTGTGTGCCCACATTTGGGAATATGGGAGGGGAGAGTGGATGGAACTATAGACTCCAGGAATAATCTTCTCTCCTTTCAGGCAATGAGACCATCTGCCCGCCAAATATCTACATCGAGTGTGCTGACCACACACTGGGTCCGTGCTGCCTTCTCCCCTCCCCGCCTCTCCGGCCCCCTCCTCCTCTTCGTCTCTCTGTGCACCCTGGTCCTCACTGCCTTGCCTCCCCTCCTCCCAGTCTCTTCCTGGGTTTTTTTTTTCCCTGGGGGTTGAGCCTTATCCCGTACCTCCAGGGGTCTGAGGACCTTTGCAGTTGTGGTGGAGGCAGCAGGGTGGGGGGTTGCAGAGAACCGGAACTGAGAGTGAACGGTGGGGCTTCTCATCTTGCTTCAGCCAATGAGCTTGCCTCTCTGGGAAAGTGAAATGACTTCTCCCTTGGTATGAGAAAAGATGTATTGCTGGCTATCGGTGTGGGTAAGGCAACCCCATCTGTCCATAGGTCTCGCTTGATCCACACTTCATTCATTCATTCATTTATTCATTCTACAGATGTTTACAGCCTGCACTGGTGCCAGAGGTAAAAGTGGGAACAAGAGCCCTGCTCTTGTAGCGCTTACTGCCTGGCGGGGCTATGGATGGGCATCACAATACAGCGTGTTAGTCCTTGTGTAGGGGAACCTCAGCGATCCTACAGGGCCCCAGCAAGGGCATGCAGCCTCACTTGGGCAGGTAGGGAGGATTCCCAGAGAGAGTGACATATGAGCTGAGACTGGAAGGGTGTGGAAGAGTCAGCCAGGTGAAAAGGGGGGACATGTTCTAGGCAGTGGGAACAGCTCGTGCTAAAGACCTGTGGCCAGAGAGAGCGTGTGTGTCTGGAGCCCTGAAAGGTCAGTGTGGCTGGAGGTCAGAGAACAAAGGAGGGCTTGGAAAGAGCGGAGGAGGCTCTGGGAAGCCAGCAATGGCTTAAGGCAAGGCAAGAATGTCTTCTGATTTTAGGAAGGGGACCCTGATTAGATGTGAGGATGGATAAGCGGGGAGGAAGACTAGGAACAGGGTGACCGGTCAGGATAGCGCGGCGGTAATCCAGACGCTGGGGCCACGGGGGCGACTTTGAGGTGCTGGGGCAGTAGAATCACACCTTCTCTGTCCCACACACCAACTACATCCGCCAAAGGGGTGATTGAAGCGTGGTTAATGAAGGAACAGATGTAAGTGGGGTTAAGGGAACCACAAGGGGTGGTGAGACTCCACAGAACTAAGGAGCCTTTCTTGCCCCCACGCCTGAAGGGTCAAAGGAAGGGGTTGCTACTGGCACCCAGAGAGAGACCTGTGGCTGTCTGAGATGGACAGGAGCCGGGAGCTGGGACCACAAGTGAGGAAGCCTGGCATCTCTCCCCTCCTTGCCCTGTGATCCTGATGGGGCCTCCCATTGGCCAAACCCAACCCAAAGCCATAGGACAGGGAGTCTAGGTGATGCATTTGGCAGAGATCAGCATCCTGGGACAGAGCAAGGTGGGGAGAGTGGAGAGTGGATCTGAAGGGGCGAACAGAGAAAACCCAGCATACTGAGCATAATAACCCTGCCCATTTGTTCTTCTGTCTGTCCATCCATCCATCCATGTATCCACTCATCCATAGGCATATGTGAAAACATGCATACCTCCCATTCATCCCAGCATCCTCTCCAAGCCCCTCATGTGTCTGAGGCCTCATGTGGTTGATTAGCTCTGGTGGGTGGCCCGTGCCCTCCCTCTGAGCCATGAGGACCTCTCTGTCCCAGGGGGCTGGGCAGCAGAGGGATGAGCTTATAGGAGTGTGCTGGGGTTTCTGCCGCCGCCCACTTTCTTGGATGGTCTGAAGCTGGTCCAGGAAGGGACTCCCAGCCAGTCTCCTCCAGGCAGTGCCAGTGCTGGCCAGACCAGGCCCTCAGTTTGGGTGTGCCTGCCTCAGGACAGCCCCTAAGCTTCTCCCCTGCAGCTGGTGGGCCTCTGGGCCATCCCACCCCGCACAGCAGCTGGCGCCTCTGTGTTGCAGATTCCCTGGGTGGAGGCTCCAAAGGCCCGTGTTTCTGCCCTACCCCCTGCAACCTGACCCGCTATGGGAAAGAAATCTCCATGGTCAGGATCCCCAACAGGGGCTCAGCCCGTTACCTGGCAAGAAAATACAACCGCAATGAGACCTACATACGGTATGTATGTGTGTGTGTGTGTGTGTGTGTGCGTGCATGTGTGCGTTTGTGAGTGTGTGTCTTTGTGTGGTGGAGGCCACCCTCAACAGGCCTGGTGCATGGTGGAGGCTGGGAGTGGGCCACATCTTTGTTAACAATGAGTCTCCTGCCAGGAAT